TACGGGATTCTAAATGTATTAATGGGATTATACGGGATTCTAAATGGATTAATGGGATTATACGGGATTCTAAATGTATTAATGGGATTATACGGGATTCTAAATGTATTAATGGGATTATACGGGATTCGAAATGTATTAATGGGATTATACGGGATTCGAAATGTATTAATGGGATTATACGGGATTCTAAATGTATTAATGGGATTATACGGGATTCTAAATGTATTAATGGGATTATACGGGATTCTAAATGTATTAATGGGATTATACGGGATTCTAAATGTATTAATGGGATTATACGGGATTCTGTATGGATTAATGGGATTATACGGGATTCTATATGGATTAATGGGATTATACGGGATTATATATGGATTAATGGGGTTATACGGGATTCTAAATGTATTAATGGGATTATACGGGATTCTAAATGTATTAATGGGATTATACGGGATTCTACATGGAGTAATGGGATTATACGGGATTCTAAATGTATTAATGGGATTATACGGGATTCTAAATGGATTCATGGGATTATGCGGGATTCTAAATGTATTAATGGGATTATACGGGATTCTAAATGTATTAATGGGATTATACGGGATTCTAAATGTATTAATGGGATTATACGGGATTCTAAATGTATCAATGGGATTATACGGGATTCTAAATGTATCAATGGGATTATACGGGATTCTATGTGGATTAATGGGATTATACGGGATTCTAAATGGATTCATGGAGTCTACGGGTATTTCTAACATGTATTAATGGGATTATACGGGATTCTATATGGATTAATGGGATTATACGGGATTCTATATGGATTAATGGGATCATACGGGATTCTATATGGATTAATGGGATTATACGGGATTCTATATGGATTAATGGGATTATACGGGATTATACGGGATTCTAAATGTATTAATGGGATTATATGGGATTCTATATGGATTAATGGGATTATACGGGATTCTATATGGATTAATGGGATTATACGGGATTCTATGTGGATTAATGGGATTACACGGGATTCTATATGGATTAATGGGATTATACGGGATTCTATTTGGATTAATGGGATTATACGGGATTCTATGTGGATTAATGGGATTATACGGGATTCTATTTGGATTAATGGGATTATACGGGATTCTATGTGGATTAATGGGATTATACGGGATTCTATAAGGATTAATAATGGGATTATACGGGATTCTATGTGGATTAATGGGATTATACGGGATTCTATTTGGATTAATGGGATTATACGGGATTCTATGTGGATTAATGGGATTATACGGGATTCTATAAGGATTAATGGGATTATACGGGATTCTATATGGATTAATGGGATCATACGGGATTCTATATGGATTAATGGGATTATATGGGATTCTATATGGATTAATGGGATTATACGGGATTCTATATGGATTAATGGGATTATACGGGATTCTATATGGATTAATGGGATTATACGGGATTCTATGTGGATTAATGGGATTATACGGGATTCTATATGGATTAATGGGATTATGCGGGATTCTATATGGATTAATGGGATTAATGGGAGTAATAGTATCGGATCCCATATATGGATTTGAATATAAAAAGGAGGCTCTAGATTCTTGACATTTTCCGGCAACATGTGGGCAGCGTTGTCATATGTTGTCATGCTATGTTGGGAGAGTCAATTTGTAGCTCGGCTCCCTATTTGATCCTATTTGGGGATATGGATGCTCCTCTTCGAAGTTGTAGTAGCCGCCTGACCGGAACGACCGTGGCGTTGAATCGGTGGTGCATCAGCCAGTTGCAGGTCCCACCCTGCCCCATGGATCTGCCTATGATCAAATCTCAGTGAGTCTCAGCACCATGAAATTACCATTTCCCCCACTTAACTCAGATTTCAAATAACCACAAATCACTGTTAAATCAGCACTAAAAACACCATTAAATCACCATTAAATCATTTCAAATAACCATAAATCACTATTAAATCACCATAAAGTCTTTCCAGTTGCAGTACTCTCCACGTCATCACCAAGTTGCTGGGACACATCACATTCAAACTGCCCACGTAAGTCCAATGATCCTGGGCTCGGGTGGCGTTACCCAACACCACTGGGGGGTTGACCATCTGAAATGGGGATTGAACCTGGTGATGTAATCCTCTAAAATGATGATTTCAATGGGAATTTCAGGATCCTAAAATGGAGGTACGTTAGTACCATATAAGGCCATATTTTGTGGGGATATTCCCTGAAATTTAGGCCTTATATCGGCCTTAAATGGTAGCTACCTCCAATAGTCTCCAATTTAGGTTCCTGAAATGGCCATTGATGATTTAGCCATCTAAAATGGGTGATTTGACTATATCTAAATGAAGATTTAGCAATCTAAAATGGGGATGGAATGGGTATACTGCAAATAATAAGTCATAATTAGGTAGGGAAGTCGCCAACAAATGACGGGGGTTTGACCAAGAAGAAGAGGATATCGTTGGATCAAGGTTAAGTGATAAGCACATGATGTAATGGGAAATAATTAGTTGGGCAACAAATAAAATGATACTGGGCGAGTCTGAAAACTTGAAGTACCACCATGTTGTGGAAGTTTACCAAAGGAAATAATGATTAACCCTTGGATTTTCGGATATTCCATCTTCAAACACGCTCATTTTGGACCAGCTCCATTTTGGTATCCCACTAGAGTGGAACTTCAGGTCAGTCTCTGGAGGCATCTGAATTTCAGGCAGTTTGCAGCCTCTGATTGGTTAGTTTGACTCTTACAAAACTATCAATATATTATACCCTCTGGTAAATTAACATAGACCCTGGCAGATAGGGGTGATTTTCAGGGTCTATGTTAATTTACCAGAGGGTAATATATTTGCTGTTCAATTCACCTATCACCGGCCATTTTTGGAGTACCATGATCAGCCAAGAGTCTGGGTGAGAACAGTTCGCGAGTGACCCAGCACGACCTTGGGGTCACATCAATTATCAATTGGGCCTTCGATTGTATAGGGGGTTCCCCCAAATCATCCAAGTCACTAGACCGAGTTTAATATGTTTAATATTTAAACCAATGGTTTTGGCCTATCCGCATGATAGGAAACTCCATATATTCCAATAAAAGCGACCAAGCGCAGGGCCGCAGGGCCCCTAGACACTTGGGTCACCGGGGTCTCCCAAGAAAGGTGAAGAAAGACTGAGCTGCAGTGACCATGTGAGACAACGTTGTTGCCCACGATGCCAGGTGGTATTCTGCTGATCATTGATGCGACGAGCTTGGACTAAACTGTTGTGTACCCTGGTAGTGAGGTCAGACAGCACCATCATCTCCTCGAGCGTGAGCTTGTTCGGATGTGCAGGGGGCACAGTGAGAACCGAAGGCCCATCTGCGCCCTCCGTTGCCACAAATCCCAGTGACCCAGCCAGTCCGGATATGGCTTTGGGTCAAAAATGCAGAGCACGTCGCAACTTACCCGTAATTCAACATAGCTGTGATATAAATGGCCCATTTATCCATTTAACATAGCTGTGATATATTAGTGTACCAGCTGGCATGAAAACTATGCAATGATTGTGATCTCTCCAGATTACGACTGACTCGTGGTGACTTTGCGCAACTACTTGTGGCGGTCTTAGTGCGCCAACGAATTGTGACACCAAAAGGTTACATGTTCCACTAGCTTTGGGGTGATGGATTTGATTATCATTTTGATTGGTGCAACGGGCCTGAAAACCATGGATTGACCACCCAAAGCATTGAGGCGCTTCCGTTGTTCAGAGATGTGCCTATCTCCGAATTCCCGGTCGCACTTCATCATAGGGGGGGTTCGGATCTTACCAAGGCAGAAACAGCCACATGGATAGTCCAGTGACAAATATCGTTTTACTATGTTTTACTCATCTCAGGTAGCTCCGCTGATAACAAATAAACCCAACTATCCCCAACAGCCAATGTGGTAGGAAAACGCAGCCAGTGATTTGTTGCCAAATGATAGGTGCCCCAAAGACACTTGTGGCACCATTCAACTTTAATCCTTGGGGCACCCAGCAGTCGACACAAATGACATTCTTTAATTGCATTTTTGTCGAATGATCGATGCCCCAAAAGGCATGTTTGACATCCCTCAATTTTCATTTTGTTGCCAAATATGCCAAAATTCTAGGTGCCCCAAGGACACGTATGACACACTTCAATTTTCATCCTTGGGGCATCCATCTTTCAACAACAAAATAGCACCCCTCGATCAAGTTTCATCTTGTTGCTTCTAAAGCATTTGTGATACCCTTCAGTTGAGATTTTTCTGGAACAACATTTTCCACAAATAGTATGTACCCTCTGGTAATTTAACGTAGCTAGTGAAAATGGCCATTTATAGTTGATTTACCCATTAAGAATGGTGATTTTTCATAGTTATGTTAGTTTACCAGAGGGTAAACCCGGAAACCCAGAATCTCCGCAGTCTCCCCTGAACTCGCACCGAAGCCGCACTGAAACTTTATCTGGGCTGAGACCCCAAAGTTAACGCTGTTGGGGGAAAAAAACCATCACCAACCCATTTTGATTCCAGCGATTTTTCTTGATGTATGTCATAAATGTCTTTTGAACCTCCAGGTTCATAGCCTCTTTTCTGTAGTTTTCTTCTTTGGTCATACATACCCTCTGGTAATGAAACGCCATGCAAAATCCTCCCATTCGTAGATGAATTTCCGATTAGATGAATGAAATTATACTATCATCACGGATGTAAAAAAACAATGATGAAACTTGCAAAGATTTAAATGGAGGCAGCGTTGCGCAGCCACTTGGAATTCTACCTGCATATGTTTTTGATAAACAGCGAAAGTATATGGACTCCATTCTATCCCCGTTACATCTCCATGACTTCATGATAGTTGCTGAAACCTCCATTAAGTCAGCATATTCAATGTTTAGTAGCCAGTAACCACATTCATCCCCATTGTTTTTCTGATTGTTGGTGATATGCGATGCACTGCCCCCATTTGGTTGGTGAAGTTACCAGAAATTATCTTCCCATAGACAATCCCCAAATAGCCACATCTAAATTCCCACATGTAATTCCCTTCATATAAGCAAAATCACATATCCAACTGAAATCCGTAAGATAACCCTCTGGTAAACTAACATAGCTATTGAACATGGCCATTTATAGTTGAATTACCCATTCAAAATGGTGGATCTTTCCATAGTTATGAAAAAGTTTACCAGAGGGTAACCCCTTTCATAACCCCTAGCATCAATAATGTCCTTTTGGTAAAAATAGAGGGGCCGGTTTGGTATACCATCTATCATCAAACAAACCTGTTTTTAAATGGTTAAATCTTCAAACCCCTCTATTTTCATCAGCCAACCAATGGGAAAAGGACATCTATGCCTAGCATTATCTGCACCAGCTCCGCCAAAAAACGACACCAGCAGAACTCGAAATTTCCCGGTGGCAGATGTCCCTCGTGGACCTCATGGCATGGAGAGATGGGACCAAACATAGGGGATCTATGAGTTACATATCGAATTTATAGAAAAATGTCATGTAATATGTAATTATGTTTGAACATAGAGCCCAGAAAGAGCTATTGAAAGTATTTACATATATACTTACTAGGGACTTCTAAAGGTTTCGACATATTTTTTGATATATACAAGGACACATAACATTCCATATGTAGTTGCATTTGGAACTTACATTATATATAGATATGTATATGTGTATGCACTACAAATACGCAATTTCACCAATTACCTTAGCATAAATGAAAAAATGTCGCCATGTAATCATAGAAAAAATATGCCGTGGGGGAATGACTAATGGCCAAATTATGATCCCAAACTTTATGCAACACAATTTGGCGCATGGTTCTCCTCAAACCAACCATCATTAATGGTGAGATAGGCCAATGAAGGCTGTATTTCGGGCTCTCCCGAACCCACGAGCAGTGGTGGTGGATGAAAACGAACAAAAAACCTTAAAAGAAGCAAACGGATGCAAACAAACAAAAACTTAAACTTTACTGTCGCAATATGGACAAAAACGAGGCAGCCGCACCGAATGATTGCATCGCGCTGCAAGATGGCGCCCCCCCGGACTGAAATTTGATGTTATCTTGGTGCCCCCAGTTGAAAGTGAGTTTATAAATCTGGCTAACTTCAGGTATATGTTCCATAAGCCACAATTAACCTAGTTAAAACCCTACCTACGTATACATCTCATTAACTATAGGTATACCATGGTATACCTACCATAAACCGCAATTAACCTAGCTATAAACCTACGTTTCGCGCTTCGGGCCCCCTGTCATGACGGAACTCGCTGGGGGAAGCCCCAGTGACCGTGCCGAAGTCGAAGAAGTAGCCATCACTGGTGGGGATCTCCATGTAGACATCACCTACCGAAGGTGAGCCCGGGTCAACATAGCCCGGTGATACATACAGAGACGCACTTGTGAATATTGAATATATACATACATACATGCATGCATACATAACATTACATTACATTACATGACATGACATGACATGACATAGATACGTACATACATACATACATACATACATACATACATACATACATACATACACACACACATATATATATACATATACACGGGTATATGCATATATGCATATATATATAAATATGCATATACCTGGGTCAATGAACATAGTTCACTAACCTGACATAAACTCATTTGGGGATGCTTCTCCTTATTATAACCATCATTCCAGTGACGGTGCGGTGAGGTCGAAACAGAATTGCCACTTTTTCCCGTGTTGAAGATAGCCTGAGGCTGTCTCTGGTCAGACCTCTTTGCAAAAATCCCAGCGTTTACAAGAAGTTACCCACATTTATATGTAGATACTCATACACGGATATATATATATATGTATATTTATCGGTACAATAAACGAACTTTTCTAGCATATGCAAAACGTATGTCTTTAGAGTAACCATCAAAATCCAATAGACGCCCTTTTGCATCCCAGTGCGCTGATCAAAGTTCGTAATTTACCGATTATAAATACCCAAAGTACTGCCTAAGCGGACTTACAGCTGCCACAACTAGGGTAGGGGTTATTCACCTAGTTATGGCTTTTAAAGGGGTCGTTTGTTATGGGATACTGCACCGGTTGCTACATAGCGGGTATGAAGAAGGAGATAAACGAAGGCTGCCCATGATGTTTCTGGTGGACTGCCGCTATGATGGTGGGAACAACTATTATTTTGGAAAAACTTTGCTGGACAAAGCCAATACCTATGGATAAAGATAGTTGTGTTTCAGGCCATCACAAATTGTGGATACGGCTATGTTTTTGATAAGACGTATTCTCACAACCCTGGAGGCATTGTGATTTTATGCGCTCATGCTACATGGGTCGGGTTGGGTGGGGCATCCCAGCGTTTACAAGAAGTTACCCAGATTTATATGTAGATACTCATATACGGATATATATATATATGTATATTTATCGGTACAATAAACGAACTTTTCTAGCATATGCAAAACGTATGTCTTTAGAGTAACCATCAAAATCCAATAGACGCCCTTTTGCATCCCAGTGCGCTGATCAAAGTTCGTAATTTACCGATTATAAATACCCAAAGTACTGCCTAAGCGGACTTACAGCTGCCACAACTAGGGTAGGGGTTATTCACCTAGTTATGGCTTTTAAAGGGGTCGTTTGTTATGGGATACTGCACCGGTTGCTACATAGCGGGTATGAAGAAGGAGATAAACGAAGGCTGCCCATGATGTTTCTGGTGGACTGCCGCTATGATGGTGGGAACAACTATTATTTTGGAAAAACTTTGCTGGACAAAGCCAATACCTATGGATAAAGATAGTTGTGTTTCAGGCCATCACAAATTGTGGATACGGCTATGTTTTTGATAAGACGTATTCTCACAACCCTGGAGGCATTGTGATTTTATGCGCTCATGCTACATGGGTCGGGTTGGGTGGGGCATCCCAGCGTTTACAAGAAGTTACCCAGATTTATATGTAGATACTCATATACGGATATATATATATATGTATATTTATCGGTACAATAAACGAACTTTTCTAGCATATGCAAAACGTATGTCTTTAGAGTAACCATCAAAATCCAATAGACGCCCTTTTGCATCCCAGTGCGCTGATCAAAGTTCGTAATTTACCGATTATAAATACCCAAAGTACTGCCTAAGCGGACTTACAGCTGCCACAACTAGGGTAGGGGTTATTCACCTAGTTATGGCTTTTAAAGGGGTCGTTTGTTATGGGATACTGCACCGGTTGCTACATAGCGGGTATGAAGAAGGAGATAAACAGGCTGCCCATGATGTTTCTGGTTGCCGCTATGATGGTGGGAACAACTATTATTTTGGAAAAACTTTGCGGACAAAGTATGGATAAAGAGTGTTTCAGGAATTGTGGATACGGCTATGTTTTTGATAAGACGTATTCTCACAACCCTGGAGGCATTGTGATTTTATGCGCTCATGCTACATGGGTCGGGTTGGGTGGGGCATCCCAGCGTTTACAAGAAGTTACCCAGATTTATATGTAGATACTCATATACGGATATATATATATGTATATTTATCGGTACAATAAACGAACTTTTCTAGCATATGCAAAACGTATGTCTTTAGAGTAACCATCAAAATCCAATAGACGCCCTTTTGCATCCCAGTGCGCTGATCAAAGTTCGTAATTTACCGATTATAAATACCCAAAGTACTGCCTAAGCGGACTTACAGCTGCCACAACTAGGGTAGGGGTTATTCACCTAGTTATGGCTTTTAAAGGGGTCGTTTGTTATGGGATACTGCACCGGTTGCTACATAGCGGGTATGAAGAAGGAGATAAACGAAGGCTGCCCATGATGTTTCTGGTGGACTGCCGCTATGATGGTGGGAACAACTATTATTTTGGAAAAACTTTGCTGGACAAAGCCAATACCTATGGATAAAGATAGTTGTGTTTCAGGCCATCACAAATTGTGGATACGGCTATGTTTTTGATAAGACGTATTCTCACAACCCTGGAGGCATTGTGATTTTATGCGCTCATGCTACATGGGTCGGGTTGGGTGGGGCATCCCAGCGTTTACAAGAAGTTACCCAGATTTATATGTAGATACTCATATACGGATATATATATATATGTATATTTATCGGTACAATAAACGAACTTTTCTAGCATATGCAAAACGTATGTCTTTAGAGTAACCATCAAAATCCAATAGACGCCCTTTTGCATCCCAGTGCGCTGATCAAAGTTCGTAATTTACCGATTATAAATACCCAAAGTACTGCCTAAGCGGACTTACAGCTGCCACAACTAGGGTAGGGGTTATTCACCTAGTTATGGCTTTTAAAGGGGTCGTTTGTTATGGGATACTGCACCGGTTGCTACATAGCGGGTATGAAGAAGGAGATAAACGAAGGCTGCCCATGATGTTTCTGGTGGACTGCCGCTATGATGGTGGGAACAACTATTATTTTGGAAAAACTTTGCTGGACAAAGCCAATACCTATGGATAAAGATAGTTGTGTTTCAGGCCATCACAAATTGTGGATACGGCTATGTTTTTGATAAGACGTATTCTCACAACCCTGGAGGCATTGTGATTTTATGCGCTCATGCTACATGGGTCGGGTTGGGTGGGGCAAAACCGTTCCTGTTACTTGCACACACGCACACACACACACACGCTTGATGCTACGTTATGAGATCTTCTCTTGCACTTGCACACATACGGGATGCTAGCTTATGGGTGGGGTGGGGTGGTGCATAATTAACATTGCTGTTCACTCGCACATCTAGCATCTTGTACATGAACCATGCTAGACATCTAGTTTCTTATTCAAGTAATACGCTGGACATCCAGTGTCTCATACATGTATTACGCTATACATCTTGTATATGTCATGCATGTGCTACGCTAGACATCTAGTATCACATATATGGATTATGCATGATTATGCTATATATATATAGACTTGTATTTGCATGATTTCATCCCAGTCAGATGAAGAACCGCGCTGGACGAACTCTGAACGGTAGATTCTGGGATTGTGAGGCACAATTTTGCAAAGTGACAGCTGGGCGGCAACATGAAAAAGGATGGAAAACATGGTCCCATTGTCTGCGGACGCCCCACTGGCCGACCTCTGGAAGATGGTGATGTCCGGGAGCAACCACGAGTACCGGCCCCCCGCCTGGGTCCTGAATATGTCGGCGTGGTACCCAAAGGTACCCGTGATCTCTGTCCCCGCGTTGGGCATGCTGGCGTCGCGGAAGTAGCGGACCGCGTGCTCGGACTGCCGGACCAGCGCCGCGGCCTTTTTGGTGCGGGTGGCGATGCTGGCCCATAAACACTTCACCGCAGACTTGGCCACATCCTTGATGTCCCCGTCCATGTGCATCTGGTGGATGTACCTGATCCCCAGCAGGTCCAGTGCCGTCTCCACGTTCTGAGCCCCGATGAGCACCAGCACGGAGATGCTCGGCATGCAGGACCCCATGTGGGTGGTGCTGCACGTAGTCCCGAACAACATGCAGCTTTCACTTTTTATCGTCACATGATTCAAACACATCATTCATGAACTAGCAAAAAGTGGTGTGTTTTCCGCTATTGAACTCACAAAAAACGAACGAAGTGTTGCGACGAGCCATGTTACAATGTTTTTAATTAATCATTAGTGTAATCCATGTTCCCCTGTTTTTGATGGTCTGAAACACCACTGTTTGGTGGATGAAAAACAATCGATTTTGTCCATCTTGGGTTGGGTGATCTTGAGTCTCCCCAGCTTTTGCTTAAAGCAGAGGTTTTAGCAACACCCACAAAGATAGAAAAAACATATATTTTCATTATTTCACTAAATAGGGGTTTACTTTTCAATCTCTTTTGGTGTTGCTACAGTCATAAAGACTAATCTTTTTTTTTGGTGTAGCATCTATTTTGATCACCCTTCACCCATGAATTCTTGACTTTTCATGCTCAAACTGGTGAAGGCTACTTACATTACATCATGAAGGATGATATATAATTGCATATCCATTGGTAATAACCAAAAACCCGTTAGCCGATTCTTATTCCAATCAATGATCAAAAATTAATATCCACATTTCCTTCGCCTTCTCAAAGAGTTCAGCCAAAGGCAAGTGAAGAAAATGGTTCAAGTAGACATTGTAGAATAACACTATGCCATTACCAGTATCATTCCCATTATGATTCATAACTCTCATGATCATTCCCATTATCATTAAAAACCATCATTATTCTCACCAGTATCATTACCATTATTAACCATCATTATCATTACAATGATCAATAATCATTAACCATTATCATTCATAATAATTTTATGATGATTATCATCACTTGTTTATTCTTAGTTCTCATGATCATTTCAAACCTTATGGCTTACTAATTCATTTTTAAAGTAATAGCTTATTATCATTCATGATTAATTATCATTCATCTGGGTAAATTATCATATTTCACTAACCTGAATGAAATGTTGGGCCATTTGGGGATGGTTCCCCATAAATAAACCATGATTAACCATTATTAACCATTAATCATAGATTATCCATATATTAACCATAGATGTTAGTCATTACCGGAGGATATCCATCGGTGAATGTTGCGATCGAACATTTTCTTCCGAGCGTCGCTGGTTGCAGCTGGTGACGATGGAGATACGGTCGTTGGCTTCGAGGCCAGCGCCCGTGACGTTGAACTGCCAGAACGAATGGTGAAAACGAAGGGTTAGTAACGGTTAGGAATCTGGTTGGTGGTCGACCTACCCCTCTGAAAAATATGAGTGAGTAACAATATATGGAAACTCATAATCCAGTCATGTTCCAAACCACCAAGCAGTAATGGTTAGTAATGGGATGTAAACCTATCATCATGGGGAATCCACATCATGGGATGATTAGTACTACATGATATTTGTAAATGTGCTAATATATAGAATAATATGTCCTATCACTAATGGTTAGTTATGGTTACCCTCTGGTTAACTAGCAGCTTGCTACTGAAAATCATGTTTAAGAGAGGTAAATCAACTATTTCTATGTGCAATTTTCACTGGCAAACTGTTAATTTACCAGAGAGTAGCATTACTACATTATATTGTGAAATTTGTAAGATATATCCTATTACTATAGTGCTAGTAGCCGTAGTGCTTTTAACCAGAACGACTGATCATTGTGGTTAACCATTGGTTAAGAATCATCAAGATTATGATTTATTTATTTAGGCAATCTTATGTACAATATTTGCCTACTATGATTCTCAATGGCTATGACTCATTAAAGGCTCAAAATGATTCTATTATGTAAGAATAGTGGACAAATCGGACAAACAATGGATTCAAGGGTTTATGAAGACAATATTGCAAAACACCGTATTACCAATAGAAATGAAAAGAGTTGACAAGTGTTGAATGGATGAAAGCGGTTAAGGGGTTATCAAAATATGGGTGTAATATATGTTTCAGTAATTGATACTGGTTAATAGTGTTTTTTCAAGTTGGATATAACATGGTTATACATGGTTCATAATCACTATATACTACTAAATAGACATTATGCTTTAACTATATGGTTGAACTATACACTATCCTCCATATAACATGGTTTAACTATAGATTATTATGGTGGATAATGTCGATATGGATATAGTTGATATGTTTGATCTGGATGATAATTTGTTACCAATGGATTGGTCATCGCTGTCATCAAAGGATATTGGAATCATCCTGGTAAAGTAAAAACCACAGTAGCTAAGACCGGTAATAATAGTGGATTCCAGCATTCTATAAGATATGATATATACATATATAACTATATATACATAATCGATCGCAAGTATGAATGGATATATTCCCATTTCGTCCCATTAAATCCCTATTTGTTCTTGGATCGGAGCCATGACTAGATTTAAGCATCCAATTCTCATCCGCTTGTTTTTATCGCCAAGTGGTTAGTAATCCTGGTGACCGGGAAAAAACCAATCTTTCTGGAACTGTCTTTGTGGTGGAAATGTCTGCAGTTGGAAGGGCGTGAAGCAAAACACGGATTTTCAGGCAAAATCAAGAGCCCCATGGCTATTGGAGGTACCTACCATATAAGGTCTATGTAAGGGCTTTTTAAAATCCTGAAAATCCCATTGACGAAACGATCAGCAACGTTTTGGGTTTTGTCGGCTTCTTGCGTTCTTTTTTGGCATATGTGCGCCTGAACTTGCGGAGAAAAATCGTAGGGTCTGTGGGGTTTTAACCAACACGCATACTCAGAGGCCAACAAATCAACCAAAAAAACGGACATTCATAGGTGCTTTTGTCGGAGACGTGCCCGGGAGCGATGCCATTTACACATCTTGGATTCAACGACCGCTACTGTATTCCATTGGTTAATCATCGTGTTCCCTATGATGGAGGCTTCAAACGGGGGAGCCAAGTGACCATGGTCGAGTTGGCAACTCAAAGTGTGATTTAGTCATCAACCACGTGGCAAAATTCGATTTAACCCGCCCAAAAACCCACCAAAAAATACCAGACCTAGCAATTTCCCATAGGGAAAACTTTCCTTTTAAACTAATCTAACTAGAAACAACCAACAGATTACCTGCCTGCAAAGGTGATCCGTGGATGATGACCCTGTCCTGGGCGGAGGCTTTCCATATTTCTGGGCTGAGGATCACATATGGAAAGACTCCTGTTACCCTCTGGTAAACATACAAAAAACTATGGAAAGATCCACCATGTTATAACTGGGAAAATGGCCACTATTTCGACGCCATGGCTTCAATAGCAAGCTGTTGACATAACCAGAGGGTATAGCCATATGTATCTTCCAATCTTTCCAGAGTCATCAAGAATTTGAGATCAAAGTTGTCAGGGCTGAGTAGCGACCTCTAAGAACGTTATCAGCCCAGATTCTTTCCGACAAACTAACAGTTCGCTATGGATTATGGCCAATTTATAGATGGTTTACCTACAGTGGATGGAAGAAATCCTGCACCAGTTCATAGATGGCTTATCCCATGATTTATAGGCTTTTCACCATCCTTTTGGTGGTGCAGGATTTCGCAACCATCCACTGTATTAAACATGGTGATTTTCAATAGCAAACTGTTCGTTTACCAAAGGCGCTATTGCTGAACATGTGAATCAGAACCAGGTGATGGTGAACCTGGAGGCGAATCCCTGCGCCAATTCTAAGCCATCAGCCCTACTTGCGGATGCAGTTCCATTGGAACTAAGTGGATATTTAAGTATAGCTATAGGCTTTAGGGGTTATATCTCCAACTTGTGGGCATTTACAATCTTTTATACATATTTATCCCATCTTATCCCCCTAAAGGTTGAAACTTCCTTTTCTGCACCTACCGAAACGCCCAGGTTCTTCTTGCACGTGGGGGCCCTCCATCACAAAAAGACCTGACTCGCAGGACTCTTCGATGGTCGCGCACAACTGACTGGCGATTTTGGGGTCGCGAAAAAAACCCAGGGGATCTAAGCTTAAAACATGACCAGAAGCGATTTTCGAAGATTTTTTTTTCTACAAGCTCTATTTCGCTTGAACGCACATGTATAGTGGTGTCCACATCTGACGTCGGTGACTTCCATGTGGATATTTCATCTGAGTCACTAAAAAGCGCCGTGCATGTATGAAGGGGCAAAAGGAACAAATAGCAAATGGGTATGTCACATATGTCACATATGTCACATATGTCACATATGTCACATATGTCACATATGTCAGTGTCTCAAATGGGATACCCTCTGGTAATTTAACATAGCTATTGAAAATGGTGATTTATAGTGGATTTACCGGTTGAAAATGGTGATTTTCCACAGTTATGTCAGTTTACCAGAGGGTACTTGTTGTAGTTTATTAACCTTATACAGCCCCCATCTTCCCAACGGTTTTATTCAACTACACACCTACTCTCCTTTGGGAAACTCAAAAGCCGTATCCCCACCGAATTACTCCTCCCTCGGCTCGGTGGAGCCAACAGCAAAAGGAAAGGGCAAACATAGGATAGTCTTTGTATATATATATATATATCATCTGGATTTCACACATATATGGATGATATACAAAAGTGGGATGATATATATATATAATATATATATATATATATGAATACATACATACAACATACACACACACGTGTACATATATATATATTTATGTATGTATCAAGATCCGTGATTTCTGATACAATTCTTTGTCTAGGAAATCGAATCAATCACGTTTTCTAAGGGCAAACCAATCATATCATAGCGTCAAGTCCCAGTCGCCTGCCGACACCACGAAATCACTGTACTTATCACAGCTTGCCCGACCTGCCGCGCAGAAACTATAGAAAATTGATGAAAATTGGGTGAATCACAACTCGCGCGACCGCAAGTTTGATGGCTCCGCTTCGGCAGCATCAAGTTAAAACTCCGAGCACTTCAGATACTGAAGGAAATGAGTGAAATTCCGAAACCGGCACGCAATGACAACTGCACAACAAACATACGTGAAACCCAGGCCATTAGCCCCATAAACTGCCACCAAAATCTGATCCAAGGCCCCTTGACCATTCAAGCCATGCATGTCAGAAACAAGATATGTTTGATTTAATAAACAATCCATGTAGTTGTTCACTGAAATGGACAATAACATGCAATAACTATTGAGTTCTAGTTCTGAAAAAACACATTGAGAACATTTCAGAACTAACTAAACATCACTAAGCTTTCCATTGTTAAACACATTCTTCTTGATCTTCGGTTCGATGTTCGGCCTCCAAAACCCGAGAAGCACCAGCACATGTAGAAAAGCCCCGGCCCAGCGCTGTTCACTTCCTCGGCTTCTTAAGATGGTACCCTCTGGTGATTTAACACATTGAAAATCACGATGTTCACCACCATAAATATATGGTTAATATATGGTTAATATACTGTTAATATATGGTTAATATATGGTTAACATATGGTTAACATTATGTTCTGTTAATATATGGTTAACATATGGTTAAAAAAACTGTTACTATATGGTTAATATATGGTTAACATACTGTTAATATATGGTTAATATCTGGTTAATATATAGTTAATACACGGTTAATATATGGTTAATATATGGTTAATAAATGCTTAATATATGGTTAATATATGGTTAAAATATGGTTAATACACTGTTAATATATGGTTAATATATGGTGAACGTATGGTTAATATACTGTTAATATATGGATAATATATGGTTAATAAACTGTTAATATATGGTGAGTATATGGTTAACATATGGTCAGTTTATAGCCAACTTGTGCCTGTAGATGGTCACCTTGTAGTTGGCCACAGGTCTATGGAGCTTGGTTTTAGTTTGGGGTAAACAAAAAGACCTGCAACATCCATGGGAACCCCCTGAGAAAATGAACTGGAAATGGCGGAGTTTTCCACATCTTTTGGTAGGTTTACGGGGAGGTAAAAATGTGAGACATCAGCCCAGTGACTTTCATTTGGCCACAGGAATTGCTAGCTGTATTACGTATTTGTTGGGTCTCTCTGTGCCCATCTATGAGGCAAAACCGTGTGCATCTTGCTGCTTCTGATGCCAATCCAAATTTGCTCTGGAATTCTATCCCATTTTTGGTGGCGTACCCAAACACTTCCAAATTCATTTGAAGCTTTCCTGACATGGAAAAAAACCACCAAGTTCTACCCCCCAGTCCTTCCAACGGCCACGGGTTCCCTGGCATCCCAGGCTCCAAGGGATCGGCCATGTTGTACCAGGACCCGGGTTTTTGCGTGAGATCCAGTCGTGCAATGCCGCCTTTCCAGAGCCCCGCGTCGATGTAGTCGTCCTGAAGTACGGACCAACGGACCCAAGGTTTGTTGGGAAACATTCCGGGGGGTTGGATAATCATCTTTTCCGGAACATGGGGTTATTGTGCGAGAAAATGAGGAAAATAGGCGGATTGCGAAGAATGAAGAATTCCACTGGGAAAAGGAGCCCTGTTCATCCACACCGTGCGGTCGTTACGCTAGCCCTATGTTGTGGCATGTTGACCATGGGAAAATCCGATGAACAAATAGACATCAATAATTCGCACAAACACATGGGCATATCATAATTACATAATTAAATATAATTAATCATAACTATACATCTGTAATTACCTATATGCATTTGCATGAACCTTCAGGTATAGGATACGTAAATGATCAAATCATGCAACATACATATAGTCCACATGTAATCGTCAACAGGTGGGGACACTAAGTTTAGGTCAAGTTTGAGATGTCGGCCCATGGCCATGTAGGTTCCATGGCCATTTGGCATCTGCGAATCATCCAATTCTGTAGGGGGAGAATCCAATCCACTATGAAAAGAATCATCCAATTCCCTTCATTCATCACGTTTAGCACCAGTGAGTTTTAGAGGTTATACCTTCTGGTAAACTAACATAGCTATTGAAAATTGCCATTTATAGTTGATTTAACCATCAAAAATGGTGATTTTCGATAGTAATGTTAGTTTACCATAGGGTAAATACTGGCCAGATCTGTTCTGGCCAAAACAACGTGGCGACAGCGGCCGCGGCGCATCTGAGGAGTTATCTCCAATGTTGGCACCTAGGCGCAACATCACAATCCATCAATGAAGCCGTGGCTATGTTCATCAACTTCCACAGCAAAATCTAGAAGAGATACATAGATACACCAGAATCATTGAAATACTTGGCCAAATGGAAGATGGCAAAACATACCTGCAAACAAATCACGAAACTCAAAGAAATGTATGTAGACAATATCGAAGCTCAAACTATGAAATCTATGAAATGGAAGTTTCCATCAGTCTGGGGTCAGGAAAAGGATTAACATCAACCATGCTTTATTAATCCAGGGTTGAAATTATAGATTTATAATCACATACTGCATACAGTAAATATATATAAATCATTATACATCCATTATTCGACATTATTATCCACCAAAAATCTTCAAAAACATATATAATGGATATCTAAAGATAAAATCCATTTAGACCATTTATATCTATAAAGATAAAAATAGTATTTATCATATAAATCATTATATCTATAAAAAAAACTATTTACCAGACAATTACCTATAAATTTATAGATATTTACCATATCATTTAAAACTAAATACCTAAAGATCCTATGAGATCTGCAGCCAAGAAATCAAAACCAGGTCAACCTTGGTCAACCGTTTATTTTTTTCATTCGCACTTGATGGTTAATAATGAATCATAGTCCCTAAATAAGATACACATATACGGAGAGTAGTGATGACCACTGAAAAAAACAGTGGATAGTAACAATAGTGGATAATCTATGATAATCTGATACCCATGATAAATGGATAAGAATGGATAATCTGATATAAATCCATTGTCACCAAAAAAAGATCCATTGTTATAATATGTTGTGGAGTGATGCATGTTATAAATCGTTGTCAATAAATGTGATGGAGTATTAGTCCATTGTTATAATAATGATCATAGTCACTATACCAATAATGAAAAATAATGTTATAATATGGATCACTAGAATGGGATACACGGAAAATAGTGATGAACCACCCAATAACAGTGGATAGCAATAGTGGATAAGAATGGATAAATAATCTGATACTCATGATAATCTAGATTAATAATGAATACTGAAATGGACAATACTAGACAATAATGGCTATATAATGGATAACAGTTAATGGCGATTTCATGGATAATAATTGTGATCTGATATAACATGAATCGGATAATGATGATTTAAACTGGATAATCATTGTTTATACGTAAGTATCACACTTTATTGGTTCTATCGCAACACTGGGTTCAATCCCCCCCGCACCCCAAATCAATATATTCTAGGTTTCGCTTGGCCCCTTCTAAAAAAAAGGGTGGTATGAAATCGCCATGGGAGTTTCGAGCAAAAAACTATCCCTCCTTGGCGACCGTCAAGATCAGGCCCAAGGCGCAGGCGTGTAGAACTCGAATGGTCTGCGAATGCATCCGCAAGCCTTCACCAGTCAGTTGCCTGGACTGTAAAAAGGCCGACCCGGGCTGGGACCAGATGGGCCCAAGGATGAGTTTGGATGCTTACAGGAAATCCAATCTTGCTCCCAAGTTTTGGCACGTAGATCGAACGTTTTCAATATCTTTGAAGGCCAAATCCAATTTTGATGGTGAAATCGACATTTTTGATGGTTCCTTGGTGGCTCGCCACAGGAATCGTAAGTGGGTTCGTTCACCCCATTTATGATCAGGATAAGTAGGGTCCATGGGTCCATTCACGGGGCTAAACTACCCCACTTGCTATTCCTGGGGTTGGTGACAAACTCTTTCATACGCCAAAAAAATGTCACCTTTATTTTCCGCAAATAAATCTACCACAAATCACCCTTAGTTAATCCATGTATCAATGGATTGGTTGAAGGGAAAATCGCAACCGGAAACCATCGATTTTCCACGATTTTCCCATGAAATCTGGGGCTATCTGGTAAATGTTCCCTTAAACCAACCCAGTTCGCTGGAGGATCATCGGTCCCTCTGAAGGGGCGCCAAGCTGCACCGAACAGCTCTCCCAGCCCAACGTACAGCTGGCCACGTTGCGGCTCCACGGGCCCATGATCCTATGGATGGCTGGGAAAGCATCGAAATAAGCAGTTTCATGTTGGAAACCACCTATGAAACCCATGAATTGGCATATCTTAATAGTTTAAATGGGATGCGAGACCTGAAGAATCACCTAAAAATTGGATTGGCATTTGAATGGGATGATCATTGAAGTTAGGTTGATGTTCCGGCCGTGTTTCTGCCGAAAGGTCAGCAAGACGGGGATTTAAGCATCAACATACAGTTTTGACTACTGACCAATGGATATGAGGGGGGGTAGAGAGCCATGATTCAGGGTTACCAGATTCCAGCTCCGGACAAGGTAAAGCGCCCAAATCTGGCAAACAATTGAATTTACGCCGGGATCCCTCATATTCTTTCAGCGCCCATCCTATTTCTGCTCCACCCCCCAACTTGGTGCGGAGGGACGAAATCACGTGGATGGCTTGGGCAGACTCTTCAAAACCTCGGGGATAGCATGCGAGGGAATGGTTCCTGATTTGCTTGGAGAAAGGCTTTGGCAGGATCTTGCAGGGAAGTTGGTTGCTATAGAACTGACAGGGGCAACACCATTTCGAAGATTTTTTCCGTTCCGTTGGTTGAAAAAATCTTGGCAGCAACCAACTTGCTTCTCTCATCTTAGGGGCAATTATCTTCAGAAAAAATCTGCACCATGGAATTGAGATTCCCGCGATTGTCGCCTTTACAGTATCGGTTCACATCCATGTTTTTCGATTGATGCTTGAATGCGTAAGCCCCTTGATGATCGAGTCACTTCTATTGGTGGTCACTGCCCAAAATTCTCCAAATGGTGGTTCCCTAAGTCATAGGGGTACCCCCATTTCATCATCCATTTTTGTGGCTCGGATTTTCCATGAAAAAGTCACCATCCAGCGATAGCTAGGGGTACCACCCAGCGACTATGGAAATCCATAGTCATGTCCGTCATCATCCATCGGACATAACGCCAAGCCACAGCGACAAGCATACCTTAGCCACTGGAGCAATCTGTGGCTGATATCATCCGAAAAATGCCAACAAGGAAGCCCCGAAAAACTCTAAAAGATCTAAAAAAGTGGATGTCGTAAATCATAACTCACAGATCTAGAAAAAAGTAAATCATTGATTTCTACATTGTCATTTTTCACCATTTTTCCAGATCAAAAAAAGTATAGTAAATTTCTACATTGTAATGTAGATCATAACTAACCGTCCCAAGATGTAGATCTAACATGGTGATCTTTATTGATCCCACCAAAAAACGGATGGTGAGTCTGGTGAGTTATGAACCACAGCGAAGCTGGAAAGCTGGAAGCCAAACAGGGCAATGGAAACCAAACTTTGACATTTTCAGCCATGTACAAATAGTTTCCGGACAAAAAATGGGACTTTCGATTGTTCCGTTTCGCTGCCAGAGTCAATGAGGTAGCAGCCAAATTGACATGATCGTTGTTCGCAATCTGGGTTTGTCTGAAAATAGTGTACCCCTAAATCCATTGGATTATGATCATTATCCCCATTCAAATGGCTATTTGGGGGTATACCCCATTTTCAGACCCATCTAGAGAAGCATGAGCTCGAAACATGTTTCCATTTGCAAAGCTTCCTTTATCAGTATCAGCTTGCATACTTTGGCCCCCAAGATTACCAAGTCGCAAATCCAAACTTCTCCCACCACTTAAATGACTATGGGCCAAGATCAAAAAATGCTTAGCCTCCCAACTTCAGGGTAGGCAAAATTTAAATAACATACCCCTGTGTGTCCATGAAAATGAAAATGGTTTCAATATCAAATGCCCAGAGAAAGATGAACATCACATATCGTTGAGCCGTTATGAACCATTATTATCCATTATTAATCACATACCTGTCTGTTTCTTGTTTGAACTGGCAGCTTCGGTGGCAGCCCCAGAGACACTGCGGCCCTGAATCCCCGTAGCGCTCAAAACTGTTTTTACTCGGCAACTTTTGATGTTTTTTCTGCAAAATTGATTGTCATTGATGAGTTTGGATGAAATCATTATCTCATTAATGGTTTCGACATGTAGCACATGTTTGCACATTGGCTGCCAGCCCATGTTTGGCTCTACCTTCGCTATGTCCCCGTTGACTGGTTGCACACCATCTTGGTTGATTGATAAAAACAAATCCATTGTCGGTCACATCACCCGTTTTGTTGCTTAATTTGGTTGCTAAAATCCCCATGTACTGTTTATCCCAATTCATCGTTGGTGAAATCCCGTTCATTGGTCGTTCAATTCCGGTTTTTGTTGGTTAAAATATGTTCATGCTCCATTTTCGTAGATGAAATCCACCATGGCATTGTTGGTCAAATCCTCTGTTTTTGGATGACATCACAATTTTTGTTCGTTAAATCCTTGCTTTTATTGGTAAAATCCCGGCTGTTTTTTGAGGGATGGACTCAGCATTTTTGTTGGTTCCATCCCAATTCTTTTTGGATGAAATCATCATGTTTGTTGATACACATCAGCACATTTTCTTGATTTAATCAAATTTAATAATCATTCTTGATCATTTTTCTTGGTTCTGCATTCATTAAAATGATCTCACCCCGTTGATCCCTGGTGCGACCATCACCACGGCGCCAATTCCCCGGATCTCGTTTGGCAATGTCTTCGGCAGGGACGGTGAAGCGATAACTTTTGGCCTTAAAAGGTGAGAAGGTTTTACTGAAGCAATGGATGCCATAAATGCCATAAATGGAAGATAATCTATTTTTATCTGCCATCTATCATTTTGGCCTTAGATGGTGAATTGGCCTTAGCGATAATTTTTGGGATGGAGGATTTTTTCACCCCAAAAAAGTGGGATTCTACTGGGATTGCACCTCAAGAATACTGGGTTAGTGGGATTATGTAGTTTAATGTGCAAGATTTTTGAACTACTGGGATTATTCTGGGTTAGCTTGGGTTTCTCAACGGTTTCTAATCAACAAACATGGCGTTACAAGTTGCCATCTGCCCACATACCATAAACCATGAGAATCGCCGATTTGAAGAGTCTTCCAAACCTTATTTAAGGCAGGGCCTATGTAAGCTGGAGGGAGGGTATAGCCTAGAAAAACCGTATCTCCAATCCCAAATCTTACTAGGACAGCACGCGGGCAAATCACGATCCCATAGCTTTGTCTAACTGTCAATGGATCAAAGTGATATACACTGTGCAACTGGGGTTCCGCCTCCGAGAAAATTATAGAAACAATTGGATAACTTTAGTTAGGTGGCTTCTAAAAACCAGAACCCGTTACTTGGATTTGCTCAGGGGGGTCCTGAAAAATAGAGCATCTCAAACAAAAAGATCCAAGAACAGTGGATTTCCAATGCATGGCGACAAAACATGCAGCACACTGAGCGCAAATCAAACAGTTGAATAGAGTGAAAAACCAATGGCAATATCACCCAGAACTTTTTTCCTGAAGATAATCATTTATTTCACCAAGTTATCCAATCACCTATTAGTAAAGATCAGTTAAGTAATATGTTACCCTCTGGTAAACTAACGTAACTATGGAAAATCACAATTTTTAATGGGTAAATCCACTATAAATGGCCATTTTCAATAGCTTTTTGTATGTTTACCAGAGGGTAAGATAATAATCACCGATGATTTCACAGAGTCCAATAACTCATGATCCCCAAGCAATATCATTACTGTCAAGACGAAGATGATCACCCCGAAGGTGCGAAGCACTTGTTGCGACTTCGATGGCATCGTTTTTCCAACTCGTCCCCATCTCTACCTACATACAATTTTGTGGGTAAAACGCTGCCATAAACCACCCATGACTGGGAATGGTTTATACCACCAATTTATGGTGATTTGGGGGATGGTTTATCATTGCTTTACCCGCATATATACATATATGTTTGAATACCAACCACCAGGAAATAGTTGAAATATGTTGAAATACATTGGTAGTGATGTGGTAAACCCACTGCCATAATCCATCCCCGAAAACACCGTACATGGGTAGTATAGTAATCCCACAATTGGGATATATTTGGGTTTGTTTTTGTTTTTTTTTGGGGGGGATATATTGGGATAAAGCATACAAATTCCATAGTAATTCCTAGACTTTCTAAGTAATTTCCAAAACTGATAGCTTTCCAAGTAGTAATCACTAGAAATCACCTTGAACATCTTGGAATTTCCGTGGCAATCCCAAAGTAATTCCATAGTACTTCCCGAATTTTCCCAGTGATTCAGAATTCAGCGAGGCATTAAGGCACATAGGGCCAGCGCCAGGTAGAGCAGGCCTGGACGTTGCAGTACCTGGAAACTGAACGGTGCAAACGCTGCAGGGAACTCCAGGGATTTTCCCCAAATGCTGGGTGGTTTTTACACCATGAAAGACTGGGTGACATTCATGGGGAAAATCCCAAGCATCAACAATGGCGAACATCGTGTTTTTTCACCTGATTCACCTTAGTTAACTAGATATGATATAGCTAAATCATGTTAAATCATGTTACATCATCTTAAATCACTCTCGGAATTTATCACAGATGACATCATCCAGAGGTTTGATCGCTGAATGGGGATGCATCTTGCCCCAAGGATGGCTATCACTGGGCAAACTGGATGCCATGGATGGATACCAAAGGGGTGTGTAGAACTGAGGTCTCCTTTTTAATGGATAACAGCATGTGTAACATCTGGGCTATGTCTTTCATCCCAAAGTAAACTCAATGGATTTCAGGGAAAATTACAGGAAACAACCATATTTTTCATATTTCCCATAGTTCATCGGAATTGGTGGTTTCCGGTGTTCAGATTTTCCCATCCAAAAATTGATCCACCGATCCTTGAAGCTCTCCCGCCGCGGCACATGGCCAAAGAGATATTCACGCCAGGCTCCCAGTGAAGACCCGTAAAGTCCACGTTGCAATCCTTGGTTTTTTTTGGCGGCGTGGGAAGATGATGGGAAGATGGGACATATCTATGGTTTTAATGGGATATAAAACCATGAATTTGATGGAATTCTTCATGAGATTTAATGGGATAAATGACCAGTATAAATAAATAAAAATATATATATGTATATACGTATGTCTAGTATTCATATTTCATGGCATGTAGTGGGATATGTAATGGGAATATGATGGAAACATATTGGGATATAACAATATGTACAGTCTGGTCATTCAACATAGCGATGATTTAGATGGAACGAGGCCTTGGCTAAGTGAGCTTGGGCTTACCCTCTGGTAAACATACAAAAAACTGTAGAAAATAGCCAATTTATCGTTGATTTATCTATGAGACTAATGATTTTCCATAGCTATGTAAACGTTTACCAGAGGGTATGAATCAAATTTTCTTGGCTATTTTCAAGAGCTCAGTGAATGACAATTTTCTGCTCTTTATTTGCCAAGTTATCTTCCGGTTCACGTTTCAGGGCTGAGCTATCCACCATGTTCTGCGGCTTATTTCACTCTTGAGGAAGTCATGACCCCACCCGTTTAACATGGCTTTGTGCAAACAAAAAAAAGGTACTCATAATTTCATGGTTTTGCAGTTTAGCATCACTTTCCCCATTGAAAATATTGAAATGCCAAGGGTTGGCTATACCCTGTGTGTAGGCAAACTCCAAATAATCAAATGGTTCGTGCTATCAATATCCCATCAACATTCATCTTGTAAAACGTCGGAGGCCCCGGATAGCTGGTCCCTGGTCTATAGCTAGGTTAACTATGCTTCACCGTAGATATATCTGTAGTTAATAGGCACCAATATATATATATAATATGTATATGTATAATATGTATATATATATATAATATGTATATATATATATATAATTACATAATTATATATATATTAAATACAGATATATCCCTATCAAACCAAATGTTACTTCATCCCACCACGGTCATGCCGCCCCAGTCACTGCGCCCAGGAAACAGCGTGTGGCCTTCCCTGAGGATTCGTCCAGGGGAACCCGGAAAAAACAATGAAGATTGTCCCGCGGGTGTGAAAATAACCATAAAAGGTACGTTAGTAGCATAGAAACATATAGAAACTCAATATTTTATAGGGGTATTCCCTGAAATTTAGCCCCAAAAAATAGACCTCATATTTGGTAGGTATCTCCAATTGAGGTACCTGAAATGGCCATTCAAACAGTACAAAAAAGGGAACCTTTAGGCTACAAAGCATTGGGTTTTAACCAAGACTGATGGTTTCACCAAGAGTCATTGTGTTTCTCTCATGCAAAACGTAGATTTATGTGGCACACAATGAGGATTTATTGAGGCAACAAGACATGTACATGTTGACCAAGCATGAGAACTGCCTGAATGGCTGTCGAACATGCGCCCGTCACACGAAAATTTTCTCACCAGCCCAATAATGTGGATCTGCCCAAGCAAAATTGGCTACCTAGCAAAGACAAGAGGGGTCACCAACATCAATGCATAACATGCGTGTTTCGCAATGGAAAACCCAGCAAACTCAAACACAACGCCTTTTGCATTCCAAAAAGTCAAATTTCAGTCAAAAAAAAAGTTCAAAACCCTCAGTTTCACCATGTCTCACCATCTTTCACCAGCAAAAATCGCTGGATTTCTGGAAAAACTTCGCCGCGGCCTGTGGCTCCGTTGTCCGCCAGAACGTAGCGAAGAGTACCTCTTCGGTTTCTTTTGATTTTCGCCAGGTCGTGGGAGTGGGACATGGAAAAACTTGACCCCTTCCAGTCCAAGCTATTCCAGACACACACACACATATATATATATACATACATACATATATGTGATGTACCTATGCTATATGTATATATAAATGTATGATTTATAAGTATAATATGTATATATGTCTACATGTATATATATATATAAATCATCACACACACATTATGGCAATCCAGTCAGCAATAATTTGGAAAATCTAGGAATTACTATCGAATGACTGTTAGTAAAGCATTAATAAACCACCGATATTTTGATGGTTGCTACCACCCATTTATGGTACAATTAGGGATGGTTTACTATTGCTTTATGGACATAAAAAATATATATATATATGCATGCTTAGCTCTGCAGAAAAGATAGAAACATAGAATCATACTGAACATGATTAAACTAGTGAGGATTTACGTGATCTTTTTTGGGGCTCATCCCCCAAAACTCAGATTCGAATTCACCACAAAACCCTCCGTCAAAAACCCTCCGTCAAAAACCCTCCCCAGTTCCATTTTTTCCAGATTTCGTTGCAAAAAACCTGATGAACCCATGTTGTTCGCATGTTTTTGTTGGCCTTTCCATCGTTTTTCGATGTTTTTTCAATGATTTTTATGTTTTTTTTTTGAGGGATGCCTTAAGGGGATACCCCCCTCAACATACCTCAGAATAATAAAAGTATTATTCCGGCATACGTTGAGTTCACAAAAAAAATATTCCAAGAACTCAATGAGATATATGGAAAATGGAATAATTTCCATCAAACTGATACGGGTATAGTCTATTTCTAGCCAAACGCAAGTAATCGTAAGCAGCTGCGCGCAAACGGCCGAAACAGTTTCCCTTCTTGCAGAGCTGGGGCACAAATTTAAACCATTTTCAACATAATCAGATAGGATCAAGAATGGTCAGCATAGTATCTTTAAACAAATGTCCTCGCAGCAACCCACTAGTTGAACATGGTTTTAATTGGTTTTTGATGTTTTTCCAGTTTCTGGGCTGGTTTGGTGGTTCTGGCCTTAGTGGGAATGAATGGGAAAAGGAAAATATTTGGTTGTCACTGGTTTATTTTTTTTTGCCAATTTCTGGATTTGTTTTGTGATTGTAGCAGCTGCCCCCTTTTGTTTTTGAGGGGTGCCAGGCATCTCCAATACCTCCAGAATAATTTCTCCCCTGTCGAAAGCCCACAAAATGGCACCCAACCTGGCTCTCTTCTAGAGGTTTTCCCAACTTTGCGTACGCCTCCTATTTCTTCCATATTCCCTTCGTTGGCCATAATGGGAATGAGTGGGAGATGTTTGGGTTTCATTTGTTTTTTTGTTAATTCTTGCCAGTTTCTGGGCTAATTTGGTGAGTAGCTGCCCACTTTGGTTTTTGAGGGGTACCAGGCATCTCCAATACACCTAGAATAATTTCTCCCCTGGGGAAAGCCCGCACAATGGCAATCAACCTGGCCTTTTCCTAGGTATTTTCCTAACATTCCCGACTCATTGCCACCCAAAGAACTCTCGAGAGAAAGTACCGTGAGAGAAAGGTGGTCCGTTGGACACTAGTTGTGCGTGCAAGTACGCTGCAAAAAAAGGTTGGCAGCAATTGCCCAAACTGCATGATGCCTTAAATAACTGCAATTGGCATTTCCAGCAAAAAGTTTTCAGGCAAACACCGCCAAGCTAGGAATGGCTTTTGGAAAGGCCAAGCCAAATATAGGACGTATAGGTTGTTTCAAGATGTTTCAAGATGTTTCAAGATGTTTTAAGTTACCGAAAATTATTCCAAAACCTAATTATTCCGGGGTATCTTAACGGGGGGGGATCATGATTTTCAAATTCCAACATGCATAATCGTATACCTACCCCTTGAAAAAATTATTCCTTGAAACTTATTCCAAAAAAAATATTCCATAACCTAGTTGATACCCTGGAACAAATTTTTGAAGGCATGGGTCATGGTTTTTCTTGTTTTTTTTACCTTTTTCCCTGGCATTTCCAGCGCCCGCCTGTTGAGAGGCTGGCGCTGCTGTTACTGAAGCTGTTCACGGCGAAGCAGAGCTCCTCCAACGGCTCCTCCGCGATGGATTTCACCCAGCAAAATGCTGATTTCATAGAGATTTCAGGATGAAAACGGGTGAAAAATAGGGATTTACACTCTGGTAAACAGAAAGAAGCTATTGAAAATGGCCATTTATGGTTGATTTACCATGATTTACCCATTAAAAATTGTGATTTTCCATAGTTATTTTAGTTTACCAGAGGGTAAATCATCAAACATACTGATTTCGTAGCGGTTGAAGCATCAAAAACTAGGCTACGGCGCGGTTAGCGACCCGGGGTAATTCATTGATTTTTCATGATGCTTGGTTCACCAAATCATGGTATTTGCAAGGTTTTGTAAAAACGCGATAAAAACATATAAAAACGTCAAATCGTAGTTACTTTGGGGCCTACTACCAAAAGTGCGTTTTGTGTGAAACGTTCATCGATTTTCAATACCCCTGAAACGAATTATTGTTTTTTTCCTTTTGTTGGAGAAATTCAGTTACATCTGACCACCAGTCATTGAGCAACACTTTTTTTCAACCCACCCTTGCAAGTTGTGCATGTGACGCAAGTTAACATGAACGTTAACATCCCCACCCCACCCCAACCCAGTGACGTGACGTCAGTTGTGCATGTGACGCAAGTTAACATGAACGTTAACATCCCCACCCCACCCCCAGTGACGTGATGTCAGTTGTGCATGTGACGCAAGTTCACATGAACGTTAACATCCCCACCCCACCCCAACCCAGTGACGTGACGTCAGTTGTGCATGTGACGCAAGTTAACATGAACGTTAACATCCCCACCCCACCCCAACCCAGTGACGTGACGTCAGTTGTGCATGTGACGCAAGTTAACATGAACGTTAACATCCCCACCCCACCCCAACCCAGTGACGTGACGTCAGTTGTGCATGTGACGCAAGTTAACATGAACGTTAACATCCCCACCCCACCCCAACCAGTGACGTGACGTCAGTTGTGCATGTGACGCAAGTTAACATGAACGTTAACATCCCCACCCCACCCCAACCCAGTGACGTGACGTCAGTTGTGCATGTGACGCAAGTTAACATGAACGTTAACATCCCCACCCCACCCCAACCCAGTGACGTGACGTCAGTTGTGCATGTGACGCAAGTTAACATGAACGTTAACATCCCCACCCCACCCCAACCCAGTGACGTGACGTCAGTTGTGCATGTGACGCAAGTTAACATGAACGTTAACATCCCCACCCCACCCCAACCCAGTGACGTGACGTCAGTTGTGCATGTGACGCAAGTTAACATGAACGTTAACATCCCCACCCCACCCCAACCCAGTGACGTGACGTCAGTTGTGCATGTGACGCAAGTTAACATGAACGTTAACATCCCCACCCCACCCCAACCCAGTGACGTGACGTCAGTTGTGCATGTGACGCAAGTTAACATGAACGTTAACATCCCCACCCCACCCCAACCCAGTGACGTGACGTCAGTTGTGCATGTGACGCAAGTTAACATGAACGTTAACATCCCCACCCCACCCCAACCCAGTGACGTGACGTCAGTTGTGCATGTGACGCAAGTTAACATGAACGTTAACATCCCCACCCCACCCCAACCCACTGACGTGACGTCAGTTGTGCATGTGACGCAAGTTAACATGAACGTTAACATCCCCACCCCACCCCAACCCAGTGACGTGACGTCAGTTGTGCATGTGACGCAAGTTAACATGAACTTTAACATCCCCACCCCACCCCAACCCAGTGACGTGACGTCAGTTGTGCATGTGACGCAAGTTAACATGAACGTTAACATCCCCACCCCACCCCCAGTGACGTGACGTTAGTTGTGCATGTGACGCAAGTTCACATGAACGTTAACATCCCCACCCCACCCCAACCCAGTGACGTGACGCCAGTTGTGCATGCATCAATTTCAAGAGCAACTTGCCTCCAATCAGCAAAAATGCCAAAAACGCAGGGGTCGTTAATGGCGCCGTAGGCAAAAACTAGTGATAACTAGTGGGATTTTCGTGGGATTTCGCAACGGGTTAAATAGTGATTTGTTATGGGACCCTGGCGATCGTAAGGCCAAATTCAGTGGGTTCTCCCTTTTATGGGTCATAACATGTGATAACTCTGGTTAGTTGCAATCCGTAGGATGAGCTCATATGACCTCCAGGTTGCAAGAAATCTCAAGGCGATGCAACCAACAGGGTGATTTAATATTTAAGAATCAGACGAGATTCTGAAAACTGGGTCATTTTAGGTCCTTCAAAACTACCACAAACCATTGATCGAAGGAATGTTCAGGAGAAATTCATTTTCACTTCACCAGCTGGAAAATGGTTTTCATGGAAACTTGTATCCCGGATAAGATACGGATTTCAGCGACAAGAAGGGTGATTGATTCATGCAAAAACTGGGATTGAAGCGACTAGGAAGGTGTTGGCCCAAACAAAGAAACGGATTTCTCCAACATGGCGAAGATAGGGAGTAAACCAGTGAACATGAGGACACAAAAACAGAAAAACACGCATTTCACCATCAGAAATGAACTTTCACCAGCATATTTGATGGTGATATAATGCAATCGTTTAAGGCTTTAACCAACTATTTTATTGTGATGTAATGATGATATGTTAGGGATAATGGTGTAATATGGCACAATATGCCCTATTTATATCCTTTATATGGGATACTACATCTTCCCATTCTGCTAGATTCACAATTTAAATATAGTCTTAGAGGGGTAGTAACTCCTACAGTGCTGCGGGAGGACATGTCCCAATGGCCAAAGTCATGCCAACTCGACGCGCGAATTCGACAGTAAACCGGTGGGCAAAATGGTGACAAGACGGTGCCCCTCAGCTATAACTGGTTGGTGGTATACCTACCCCTCTGAAAACTATGAGTTCGTCAGTTGGGATGATTATTCCCAACTGAATGGAAAGTCATAAAATTCATGTTCCAAACCACCAACCAAAAAAGTTGCTTGCTAGACCCCGTTTGCCACACATATATCTGTAGACTGTAGACATCTGTAGACCATAAACCAAACATCCACACTATCTGAGGGTGCCCCGCCTTGTATGAATTTAAGCTGGGCATCGCCGAACATAGATTCCGACAGTGGAATTGGACTTCAACAGGAAAACTACTTAAAAATACTCACAGATCTCCCACTTTTCGGATAGGAAAGCATCCACAAATGGTGGATTTCCAACTTTTGCCACTGGTACAATGATAAAAAATTGCTGGATTTCCCACTTTTCCCAAGTCAACTTTAGTAAGTCATCACCAACACCTGGTGGGTTTCCCTGTCCTCATCAGCATCAGGCCAAATCATGATGGCGCTCTGCCACGAATAAGGCAACAATGCCCTGGTACCGCCTGGGGAAACATCGAGATGAATCAATGGCTATGCTATGTAAGGGGATATGCCCCCCAAATATGGATTGATAATAGTGATTTAATGTGATACATACAAATATAATGTTCAGTAGCTCCAGTTTAGGTACCTGAAATGGCCATTCAATGAAGCTGTGGGATATGGCACTGAATCAGCCATGGTTCTCTACCAAGACAAAAAAAGGCCGATGCAGAATTCGAAGTTCGAATCCTTGCAGACTCTGTTGTCAATTGTGACAATCACCAGAAGTATGGATGCCAAACATTCCAAAAAATTGCCCGACCGATTTTTTGGATAAGTCTGATAAGTGCTTTGTGTGAGTGCATTCCCAGGCATTCCGCTTTTCAGATGTCAAAATATCATAAAATATCCATTGAAGCTTCAGGTTTGGTCGCCACGAGTTCTCCATATTTTTCTGTTGATTTCATCGCCCAATCCGCCTGAAGGAAGGCTGTACAGCACGCAACGCCTGGGCTAAGGCACGCCAACAAATGCAGTGGTAAAACTTCAACGGCCATGCAACAGGAACCGATTCATTGGAGGTACCTACCATATACAAGGCCTATTTTTTAGGCCTATGTAAGGGGATATACCCCCAGAATATGGCTTTATATGGTACTAACGTACCTCCATTTTAGGGTCCTGAAATTTCCATAACTTGTAGCCTCCAGCTAACATAGCTATGGAATAGCGACGCCATTGCCCAGTTATATTTTCCCATAGCTATGTTAATCTACCAAAGGGCAACTCTTCCCTTCTGCAAGTCCATGAGTCATATCTTATCATATCTTGGCTTAGCTAAAAGAGTGTTTGGGCTGGCCATGAAATTCCACTATTTATGAACTTATGGCCAAAACATGCCAAAACTCCCTCTGTTATTAGGGTAGTTCCAATTTAGTCATTACATGACACGCAACCAATTTCTTGTTGGTAAAACTCCTGCTCTGGCCTCGGACTGGCCAAAAAACCACCATTTGGTCGAACTGAACGTGCCATGGAACGGGTCCACGAACGTGCCAAGTCAATAGGGATAATTATGATGACCCACTAGGTTTTAATATTTAAGGGGTGTTTTTCCCAGCATTTTTGCATATTTTTGCACCCATCTTAGCCCATCAGGCTGCCCCATCGACCTGTCGGTTTCTCCGTCTTCCCACTTCACAGGGACGTTGGCGCCATAGAAATCAAAATCGATGCCCTGGGTGGCAAGAGCCTCCTGAGACGCGCGCTTTGCCGCCACGAGGCCATGGTGCCAATGGGTACAACTTTGAATCTGAAAATTGCTGATATGGTGATTTAATTGTGGTTTTATGGGGATTTAATGGGAACTACTCGGGTTAATTGAGATGTAATGCTGGTTGGTGGTTGACCACAATCCCTCTGAAAAATGATGGAGTTAAAGTCAGTTGGGATGATGATTATTCCCAACTGAATGGAAAAATAAAAGTCATTGCTGATATTATATCTGTACCACCAAAAAATGATAATCTTAATGGGGAAAGTGATGATTAAGCAGATGTTACGCATGGCTACCCCAGTTTCAGACAAAACCAATTTGATGGTCTTTCGAAGTAGACCATCAAATTCTTGCTGGTGCTAAACGCAGGGAATGGGTGAATGGAATGATTGCAATAGGTATGGATTCGATCCTTCCCCCATTCTCTACGCTTAGCAACAGTAAGAATTTGGGTGGTCAATCATTTTGAGCCATAGGACACCGCCACCATTTCTATCGTTTTTTCCTGGGAAAATGGCTGAACATGTCGTATATGTTCAATGCCAGGATTCACTTAGGGAACATCCCAATTCATAAGCTCCAAATAGGACGTCGTGGCCCTGATCACCAGCAAAATTCTGGTCAAATCGTTGTTGGTTGAGGGGTGTTTGTCGTCCCGCCGTAGGGGCTGAAGATTGACAGAAACACGTCTTCCATCGCGGTGCACATTGTCTTGATAACCGCCACTGTTTTTGTCGCTTTTTGTTGATGTCCTTCATTCCTTCATCTTAGAATCTTTCTCCATGGTCAACTCCCTATTTTGGATACTCCTACCACCTGGCGCAATCTTCAATCTTGCTCCTTTTGCCGTCCAGAATGCCATTGAAAAAGCCGAAAACTAACCCCGACAAACACTGAAACTACACAACAAAAATTAACAACAACTTCTGGACCCATGGTTCATCATGGTTCTATGCATTTTTTCCTGCCCCGAAGTTCTCCAAATCGCCAACTCCGCAGTCACCGCTGCCCCGCCCGTCCTGTTCACACACCGAGAGCCACATGGTGCTGACACCACTAGAGCCTCCCAGACGTTCAGCCCAGGCGATGCATTGCAAGGTCTTCGGTTGGCCTGTGGTGCACTGGTGCACTTGCCGAAGCAACTGCAAACCAACCCTGAAGACGCCCGAGAGTGACATCTCAGTGACTTGATCCCGGAGCAATGCCCAACCCCCGATTTTTGTGCAGTTCTTTGGGGCTTGTACTACACGACTCACTGCGGAACATGTTTGCGTTTGACCAAGATCTTCCAAACACTTTTTCAGAGTAATAAGGCCAATGACCCCAAGACTCTGACACCCCAATCAATTCTGAGCATTTATTAGCTGGTTAGCTATATCCCCATTCATGGCAACAGATCCACCTTTGAAAATTCAAAATGTTCGTAAAACAATAGGGTCCACCATCCCCAAATTTATCATTTTTATGATTGGGATTTCAAGCATCCATCGTTTATACCATGGCTAACCTCGACCAGTCGTCCGTTTGGCGGAGGCGCCTTCCATCAATGAGATGCTGCTGGAAGCCAAGCTTGTGTTTTCGCCTGTGATCAGCTGGGCAAGCGCACCAATGCCGTGGAAGAAGTATGAAGAAGTGTTGAACGACAAAAAAGAAGCAGCCAGTCACCCAGTAGTACCCAGTAATGTGAAAAGTAACAACCCCCAAGATCTATAGAACTGTCATTTACCACTATTTCGTTGTTTTGTTTCTATCTTTTCCGAGGGTGGTTTGTTTGTCAGACATGTGAATTGACCACAAGACATTCTTCACGCTCTTCCTGGAGCAGTCACGGAGCAGAATTTCTCTATGCGAACTATGTTCATCCCATTTCATCCCGATGGATTTTCACAAGCATCTCTCCAGCAACTAAGGCCCGAATTACGCATCTTGGATTCTCTGCATATGTTCAAAAGCTGGTTAGGCTCGAAGATTCTCAAAAGGAGCAGCGCCTGCTGGGATTCAATCTCTGGGTCTGTTGGTGCATGGTTTAAATGCCCAAGAAAAAGGAATGGGCGAGTTTATGACTTTGATCGCCGGCAATTCGTAAGAGCAAAAGGTTGGATCTTTTTTGCGGTCCAGAACAGTTTCATCCAAGAGCAAAAATAGCAACAGCAACAAAGAACTCTAACACACGCCCAAAAAATGTCGATGTTTCATTTTTTAATGTTTTTTTTTCATGGTTTCAACGCGCATTTCAAGTGGGATAAACCCAGATCGCCTTTGGCAGTGACGTAGGTGAACTCCAACTGTCCGCCGTCGTCATCTGCTTGCAGATAGATCTGGCCGTGAACACCGTGACGAGGCCGAAGCAAAACGTTGGGGATTGAAAACTTCAGTGAATATCCTGAAAAAGGCTATAGGCATTCATTTCTATACACTTATTTTTAAATACATCACTGAAGATTCACTTAAGATAAGTTCATTTGGGGCTAATCCATGAGCCTACCATAACCATCCACTTCATCCAGGGCGCTCATCCAGCGCTCCCAAAAAACACCACCGTCCTTGAGTCGTTGCAGCGCGCTGCTGCCAGGGTTGGTGTCTGAAATCACTAGTTCTAAGACCTGGCGTCGCAGCTAAGGATGGTTGGAGGGACGAAAAAATTGGGGATGTAAATAACTAATGTCAACCCCGGATTAATAACCATGGTTTATGACAATTAGGGGGGGGTACTCCTCCAATAGTCATAATCTGATACCCAATTTAACCAATCGTTTATTAATCCAGGGTTGACATTAATTGACTAAGGGAAGTGGTGACTTAGGGAAATGGTGACCATCAACTGTGGTCCAATCATCAAATGTCATACTACTGATCCATGAAACAACAAAAACAAACATTATTAACCATGCGCTTTTTTGAGTTTGACTGAATGAACATGGGCATGACATTCAACCATCATGTAAGACCGTGAACTTTGAGATGCCATGGACATCCACAGAAATTTCGACTGCACGAGCGTGTGACCACGATGGACTCCTTCCAGTTACACGGCAAAGTGTTCGATTGCATACGGGTCATTTGTCCGTCCTTTGGACACTTTTAAATGAGATCCTGAAAAATTTGGGTTTCAAAAATGGTCAAAATCTTGTTTGGTTCAATCCCCATTTTACTTTTTTTTGGCTTCAGTTGGTCACCACTCTAAAAGTGCTTCACTCTCAGCTTCTGTTGGTTTATCATCCGCCTCAGTTGGTTCAAAGGTGTTGTCATCGTGGATGCTGATGACCAGCGCCTTCGGCGAGGTATCGCCATCCGTCCACCTGCGCTGGAGCAGCGGATAAAGGGATGTGTGGATACACACACACACTGACACACATGTATATATCTATGATAGATAGATAGATAGATAGATAGATAGATAGATATTAGATAGATAGATAGATAGATAGATAGATATATATATATATACATACCCCAATACCAATATATGGCTATGATTTTAAACAAGCCAGCCCCCCAGTATATCCCCACATCTTTGAAATCTTAAAACTCCTTAAAACTCCGATAAAAATGATGGTTAAGTACTCATCAATTTTTTAATTTACCTATTTAGTAACCAATCTGGGCAAATTCTAACATTTCACGAACCTGAAAACACTTACTCGTGCTTAGTAGGGAATGGATGGGTTGCTGGGGGTTGCTGGGATGATTATTACTAGTGATTATGGATCGTTCCCTCATTCCCTACGTTCAGCACCAGTAAGAACAAAAGGCCAGCTATGGGGATACCCTTACCATGGCAGGCGTCGTCCAGCCTTACGCTTCCACTGTGGAAGGTGTAGTCGACAGGCTGCATCGTGCTGGCCTTGGTGACATGTGCGCTGAACCCACCAGGCATGCTTCGACTAGGCTATTTCATTATAGTACATGCTTCGTATTCAAGGTTTACAACACTTATAATTGTATGCATGCATATATATATATACACATATGTGTGTATGCATACATACATACATATATATATATGTATATAGATATATATGTATATGTATGCATATATATATATAGATATGTATGCATATATATATATGGGTTTTACCCACATATGCTGCACATGGTTCATGATATCCATTTGCTTAACTGGGACGCAAATCCGAGCAGCCAGCATGCTATAACGATAATGGTTCTGAAAACAATTCATTCTCAGGGAAAACATGCCCAGGAACCCTTTCACTTTCAATCAGAAAAGGAACCGAAATGGAAAACAATGCTGGGTGGGTTGGTGAACCTTCAACACTTTCAGCAGGATACACCCCAAGGCCCAAGGGGCTAAATCGATTCCATCCAAAAAACAAGTAAGACACAAATAACAACATCAAAGTATATGGCGAAAAATTATCCAGTAAGACTGCTGCATATTTGTGTCTATCATGTTTGAAACTTCATTCTTAGCTCCAGCTGGCGTTGAAATAGGCTATATGGAGGTTTCCTAAAATAGGGGTGCTCGCAAATCATTCAAGTCATGGATGACAATAACTTGGTATTGACATCCATGGTGACTTGGGGATACCCTCGTTTCAAGAGCCCTTCAGTTCTAGGTTGGTTTATAACTTCCATTAACTATAGTTATAAGTATCAAAAACCTCATAGTGGGGTTATAGACCAATCTATATGTTGGAGATATTGGAGTTAAAACCCTCATAAACTATAGTTAATAGTTCTGGGTAAATTATAACGACCTCACTGCGACCTCACTGGAAATCATGGTTAATAAGGGAAATCATCCCAAAATGGCCTTAATTCAGGTTAGTGAATTATTATTTATAATTTACCCAGATAGTTGTAGGTTTATCACGATAAATCACAGTTACTGGAGTTATTTTAGGCATCAAATATGACCCACACAAAGGGTTTCTAAGATTAAACCCCCATCAACTATCGCTATAAGTTTTACAAACCATAGTTGTTGGAGTTATTTTACTTACTCAGCGGGTGTCCTTGCCAAAAAACGTTTAAACCTTTTTTCGTTAGGTTCGCGCACGAATTTGGGGCGTAGAAAAGGGGGCAGTTTCGCGCGCGAACCCAACCAGAAAAAAAGTTCAAAGTGTAGTCACTTGCTGAGTTAAGGAAACCTCCACATGGACTCAGGCTACAAGTCTCATAAACCATAGTTAGTATCAAAAACCACCATTGACATAGTTTATAAGTGGAGGTTTCCTAACCTAACTTATATAAGCGCTATACCACACACACGCATATATATATATACACACATTGATTTATTTAGGACACCTCCACATGGATACAACCAGCTTGCCCCTTATCCTCTGGCAGCAAGGTACCACTGTGTCCACTGTCACGGTGGCCTCCGAGATCAAGGGATTCATGGAAGAAATCACAGGGAAACACGATAACTGCTGGGTGGTTTCAACCTACCCCTATGTTTCATGGGAAAAATCACTATAAATCATTAATGGTTAATGGATAATCTATGATTAATGGTTAATAGCTACCCTCCGGTAAACTAACAAAAAGCTATTGAACATGGCCATAGAAATGGTGGATTTACCCAGCTATAAAATGGTGGATCTTTCCATAGTTATGTAAACGTTTACCAGAGGGTAGCCCTCTGAAAACTATGACTTAGTCAGTTGGTATCTGTTTATTCCCAATATATGGAAAAATGACCAAATGTTCCAAACCACCAACCAGATAGCCATTGAATGATAGTTTTATGTATGCAGCATGTTTTTTGGACTCAATGGTGAATTCAGCATTTTTTCCTTGCTGAGAATGGATGATTGAAGTTTATCCATGTTTATCCAACATATTGGTGATAAAAAACATTGAAGATTGGGGTCTTTCACCAGCAAACATCGTTTTTTTCGCCGGTTCACCCGACCAAAAATCGGGACAGAGAAAAGCATGGGGGTTGATCAGCAAACACCAGGGATTTTCATGGAATTTCACCATCCAAAGTGTCCAAGTTCCCTTCAAGGCCCTGCAACAAAGAAACAGTCGAAATCATGGTGGACTTGTAACATCCAGAGAGACAAACTTTGAGATGTACATTGTCTTAAAAACCCAAACGGCCAACAATTGAAACATCTTCAACTCCCAAAAACTCCCAACTGAGGATTAGATGCCCCTACTTTGTTGACTCTCTTTATTGGTCATCCATGAGATTTCCATCATCCGACTCGACTCCGCCCTGGGCGGACCATCGCGCCTCCAGAATCCCCGTGGAACCATCAACCCTCTTCAAGGGGATGCCAACGGTACCCACCTTTTCAGTGAGATTCAAAGTGCTGGCCTGGCAACAAAACAGGGATATCTTTCCAGGTGCCACAATAGCTGGATGGTGAAAAAATCATGGAACATATGGAGGGTAAGCAGGGCTACCCCCATTTTAGGAAACCTTAGGAAACCTTAGTATGGTGATGTGATGGTTTTTAAGCAGCATTCAATGGGAATAGAATGGGATACATGAGCATTCACCAATGAAATTTTCTTTGGGTTTGCCTGATCTTTTCGAGCAAAAATGGACAATGGAGTGCTGTAGCGACAAACCCATGAGTATGAGTCTTTCAAGAAGTCTTTCCATGATGTTGAGGCTGAGGTCGCCAAACATGATTTCAGACCATTTCGTATGTCCTGCCCTTTGGCATTTCTTTCACCATCTCCCGTCACAAAAAGTTCGCTTCCGGCGAAAGGAGGTGCAACCAAATTGACATCACATCATCTGCCCCAAGAGAAACACGAACAGCACAACCAACATCGACAGAACAAAACTGAGAAACAAAAGGCAACCACAAAGAGCATTCATTGTATCCATTGGATTTCTGAAAATTCTGTCCATGTTTTTTTCCCGCTAGCCAGCAAGAAATCCATTGCCTGAAAAACCGCGTGGCCCTGCTGCGCAAGGCAAATTTTCAGCAAGGCAGCGAGCAAAAAGGCCTGGTGTCAGCGGTTCAGATCGAGGCTGGTGGCTTCCCATCCAAAAAAACAACTGGTTGGTGGTATACCTACCCCTCTGAAAAATATAAAAGTCAAATGGGAGTATTATTCCTAAGATATGGAAAGTCATAATCCAGTCATGTTCCAAACCACCAACCAGATGAAAGTCGCCAGTCTCATCGCCAGTTTGGCCTTCAATGTGGCCATGGCCCCCTTTTGGGGGCACCGCGAAGCGCGGCCAAAAAATCAGGGGAGAAATCACGCAAGGGATCTGCTGCCAATGTGGTGTTCTCATGGGAAAGACATAAAACGGGCCACAAGGATGCCAGGACTTCCCAATTTCCGCAGTGAAAAGACCAGGAAAAAACATAAATACCGATTGGATCCGATTGTTGCCTAACCGTCCCTCCATTTTTCTCAAGAAAATAATGTTGCATCATGTGCCGTGGGTGAACAATCACCGTACTTCTTTCCCCCACAAAAGCTGCCAAACTTGTACACAAAGCATGTCACTTTGCAACATCAGAGTTTCCCTAATTCAAGCATGGGAATGTGTGACTTTCGCAACACTATGTAAGCAACATATCATGTTACATCATGTTATATACATCCCTATCAACTGGTTGTTTTTTCCATGCGAAACCGACATCTCTGACAATCTGTTTCTCATATGTCCCCAGACCACGCGGCTTGAGCCAGAACTGTTGAGGATTTTGACCTGGCGAGTGGGGATTCTGTGGGGATTGGATCCGAACATCTCGTCCACCAAGATGAACATCTATACTCCAAGCTGCCAGGGCAGCTAACCCTACAAATAGCATGCAATCATCTTCCAGACTCAGTGTGGGAGGCTTCCATTAAGGTGGAAAAGTCACAAACTGGAGATGTATGTTGCACGACTGAATTTTCTGAACCCTCAAAACACGCCAATTCCAAAAAGAACACCATCTTCCAAACGTAAATTCCGGTAATTCAAGATAACTATGGAACATTTCCCATTCAAAGATGGATAATTTCTATTTAAGCTGGTGATTTTCCAGTTCGCTACGTTATTCAAACATTGCTGGATCGCCGGCAGCCAGTCCACTCCCGATGTCAATGGGAATCAGCTGATTGGGTTGGTTTACAACCAAACCGTCTGGAAAAACCCACTTATATTTGGTTATGTACCCATATAATACCCATATGGCCCATATAATACCCATATAATTACTTATATTATATATTTTGGCGCTTCACCTACCACAAAAAATATTGGCTAATCATCAGAAATCATCCCTTCTACCCATCATTTCTTGTGCCCATCATTTGATGCCCATGCCATACTGCGATCACTGAGCTTTCAGGCCATATAGCCCTCCTTGCGCAGCAGTTTCATCAACAGGCGACAACCTGACGTTTTAGCTTCTGTGGAAGGTCCAACAAAAGTCACCAAACATGCGGAATGGGTATTTCATGGGGTGGATATGAAATCGATGAGGACTGGGATTCATATGGGGTTGAGATATTCATGTTCCGAATATGTTTCGAATATGGGAATGGTCCAGAATGGAGATAAAACTTGATATCAGGCCTTGGAGCCCAGAGTTTTCGACGGAGCACTTTTTCTGTCATAGTTAAATCATGTGAAACCATCTGCAAACAGGCCATTTTTTTCCATAGAAAACTGTACATGATTACCAATTGGTACCCTCTGGATTTTTTTTTTGGCATAGCTATTGAACATTGCACATAGTTGATTTTCCCATAAAACATGGTGATTTCCATAGTTTTTCTATGTTTACCAACTGATCACCCGGCCCATTGATCACCATCGATCCATTCACCAAGCATTCGCCGGTCACCCAGCACCGAGATCTGCACTGCATTTGTTCAACTTTTCTTCTGGATCCTCAAGTGCCAGATATGAAAGACGCAGGGCAATTCTGTGCATGCAAACGACGATAAATGCCTTATATATAATATATATATATTAATATATAATAATATATTATGTATATATAAAAAATATAAACATACCTTCCGGTAATCAAACCTTACCTGGCTGGAACATATTGGAAAATCCTCTGTAAAGAAAAGGTTGTAGCTAGGAAAGTCATCCAAAAAATGGTGGATTTTCCAGAAGGCCTGCTTTGATTACAGGGTATAATCATGTATAATAGATACTATGCGCATGAGCAGCATTTACCATTTGGTTATTTAACATAGCCATCGGAAAATCCCCAAAATAAATGGAGGTTTCGATCGATGGGAAAATCGAATCTATTTCTATGGGCCATCATTTTCCATGGCGATCTGTTAGTCATAACCAGAGGGTACCTGCAAGCTAATATCCTCAAGTGGGTGTGATCCAAGACATGTCAAGCTGAAAATACCTGAGTGGATGCCGAAATCTGGGGCCCTGGGCCCTTCCCTTCCGCCGATGGTCACCTTGGTGAAAAATGCCGGCTGAACTGTACCATGTTTTGGGGATGTCTAGTGAGTTTAGTATCAAAAATCATAAACCTCTGGTGGAAATTTGGAAATCTATGGAACTAGAAATGTATTGGGATGTAACATGATGTAACATGATCGAACTATAAACAAAATGGGGTTGAAACTGAAAAATCGGGAATTTATACCTGATCATTTGCTCTGAACAGGCCTGCCGACATTGGCAATCTTTCATGAGAATGGAACGGTTGGACCAGTTCAACTTGCATCACGAGACTCCTTCTTGTTGGGACTCATGGTCCGCATGCGCCAGTAACATCTCCGAAAAAAGAAACTCAACAACTGGTTGGTGGTTGGTGGTTTGAACCCCTCTGAAACATATTAGTCAATTGTGGTTACTATTCCCAATATATGGAAAATATCAAACATGTTCCAAACCACCAACCAAAGAATTTCCGTTTTCTGTTTCCCTGAATTTCTGAAAAACTAAGGGAGCTCTGCGTCGCACGAAGCTAACCCATTTTCATGTCCGTCAAGGATTCGGGAAAAACCCTCAGTTTGTCCATGGGAAACTGCGGTGTTTCCGCCCCAGAGCTCGCTGTTCAAAGCCCTTCAGCCAAGGGGCAACAACCCACCAGGTAGAGAGTGAAGCTGATAATTTTGGGTACTGCGGCGCGAACTGCGCGACCCAACATGACCCAACTGTTGTGGATGTGCTGGCTTTACCCTTCCAAAAGGCTGGTGAATCAGAAGTCAACATAGAACTCATCAAAAAAACCCTCCGGTAATTTTAAGAAAGCTATGGAAAACGGTCCGTTTATAGATGATTTAGCTATATATATATATGTTAAATAACTTTTTTGGAAACCGACCAGGTAACCCATGTTTTTTGTGCCTCGGAAGAGGGTCTTCAGGAAGGCACTTAGAATCACCGAGCCCAAGTGATAACCTCACGTCGGCATCTGTGAATCTAAACATTTGGGATCCAAGATGATCTAAGCCACTGAAAAATGTGGTGTGAAATATCTATTTAAACATTTTCAATAAGCCCAAAGTGGGGATATGAGCATGAACGATTCGACACTAAGCGGAGTTTTGAGGGGAATTTCTGTGTGATCACCAGAGCTATCAACAGGGGGACCGATCCTCGGCGAAAAAAATATTCCGCTGATGGTGGAGGAAAGGGCCAAGTGTCAAGCGGAGTGTCTGAAAATGCGGGATACCCATAAGATGACAATTTCATGGGGGAAAATGATCATAAACCATCATACAAATTCAAATGAGGATTTAATAAGTTTCTACCTGGGATTGGGATGGGAGGAAAGCGTCTCCCAGCTTCTAAAAGGACCTTTCCAAGTGACGGAACATGTTGAAGATGGCTTCCAGCACGATGCATGGATGCCTTGGGAGGAACCGTTCAACCATCCCTGGGAGCTATCCACTTGGTCACCAATCCACAACTCGAACCCATCACCGCACTGCACCAAAACCTGCTCAAGGTCTTTGTGTTTTCGATATGCATCGAAATCTTCGATCTTGGCGTAGCTACCATGTTTTAATGAAACATAGATGCACGCAAGCGTGAATCTATAGGATATATATATATATATCAATATGTGTGGAATGTGTGGATAGATTTATATAGAAAACTAGTGTCCACCGTGTGTGGATTCTATCCACATCATCCGTAGACACGACATTCTAGCCGAGCTTTGTCTCCAATATCTCTGGATCTTCGGACTTATCGAAATCACTAACCGCGATTTTCTTCGTCATTCCGATCCCAAATTGGCCCCCAAATTCATCATTCGCAGGATGCAAAACTTACTGGTGCTAAACGCAAGGAATGAGGGAATGATCCACAACCACACTAGTAATTAATAATTATCCCAGCAACCCCCAGCAACCCATCCATTCCCTACTAAGCACCAGTAAGAAAAAACATGGATCCTCCAAAAAGAGAGCACCTGGATGATTTGGTGATACATCTGGCAGCCGCCCCATGCCACCATCTATAAAATGGGCCGCTAAAAAAGGCCGCTATCGAGGGGCGGAATGTCCACCTTCACATCTTCCACAAAGGGGGTGAAGTACCACCTGTGCAGCGGGAGCGACTAGTCGCGGTTCTCCTGGAATTGTGGAACACATTTTGGCGAGAAAACATGAACAAAATAGGAAAAAATCAAGGTTTTTCCGCTATCTTCGTTGGCGATATCCAGCTGGTGAGAGAATTTCCGGTGTCACCATTTTCGCTGGTGAAGTTCCAAGCGTAAATTGCCACATCTAATCACCATATCTACTCACATTGGTGACAACTCACTGCAAAATATCGTAAAATATAGCAAATTTCACCAGAAGTCAGTTGATTTTTCCCCCATTGATGGCCTTAAACAACATCAAAAAAACAAATCCACTCAGCTGCCGCCATCGACATTCCCCCGAGGCCACCGAATGCCTTTCAGTGACGTACGCCAAGACGTACTGAGTGCCGTTGTGAGTGATCTCCACTAACTCAGCGCAGCAAGCGTGAGAGAAATCTCGGATTTCGGGGGGGTCTAAGAATAAGGGATTTTCAGAACCTGTTATCATGGGATATACTGGGATATAGTGAGATATGAAGAGATATAATGAAATAACGTAGGATACAATGGCATACAAAAAAAAGATTTAACCATAGATTATCCATAGATTAACCATTTTGTATCCTTTCAACATGTTTTAAGGCCCTATTTTTTCAGACCAACTCACTGCTGGGAATGGAAATGATCCACTCAGGCCATCGGTGTTGTATGGCATCCCG